AAAAGAGGAGTTTCGGTAATATCTTTACCTCTTTGGTTCGTGGCCTTGTGTGTGTTAATGGGAGACTATACTGTGTGTATGTGTCCGTGATGTTCTGTCCGCCAACTGAATGTGTATCACTTGGGTCTGTGTTAAATGCTTGACATTTTTGTAATAACCACAGACGAAAAGTATTAAAGAGTAACTTTTGAAAAGGATCTCTCATGTGTTTCTCTGATTTTAAACAAGCTGTTTTAAGTTATGCCTAGGCAGCACTATAACCACGTGCCTGAGAGGAATTTACTACCTCCTCGATCTCAACCAATCAGAGACCTTGTGGTGGATTTATATTACCAAGAGGCGGAGCTTTCTGTGTAAAAGTCAGATAAAGGTCACTAGGCTTGTTTGAGATGAGCAAAATCTGAGCAGAACCGTTCATCACTGTGAGATGCATGCCGGTAAGAAATGTGTCCGAGTGCGGTCGGCCTTGCTCTAAAATCATGCTGACAAATGTCAAAAAACTGCAAGGCGTGCACAGGCTTGAATCCCGCGATCAGTCTTGTGCTCACACAGGTGTCAGATCCACTGCAAGGAGAGATTTTTCTCCACATGAGATAATATTTCGGCTGGTTGCTAGGGTGACCTAAGACAGCAGCTCTGGAACTAAACCGACGAGAATTCCTCGGTCCACACCGCGTCTTTCACATTGAAACCTGCGTGGTCCCGAGTGAGTTTGCCGGCCCACCCTGAGGTCTGCGGCCTCATTCGGTTGCCCGGCTGATGAAATCATGTATATCGCCGCATCACATGGTGAGCCGACTCAGTACACTTTCCGCCGAATGCGCCCACTGGGCCGCGCCATGGAGGTGGTTGCAGGAAGGCGCCCCTGCTCGTACCAGCCCTACAGCCCCGCTGAATGCCAGGCTATGATCAGGGAGTACGAGGAACAGGTCATTCTGGTTGTGCCACACTAGCCCAACCGGACCTGGTTCTCTGAGCTTGTACTCCTTGCGACAGCACCTCCCTGGACAATTCCTCTGAGCATGGACCTCCTTTCTCAGGGATGGGGCACCCTCATCCTGATCTTTGTAGCCTCCACGTGTGGCTCCTAGATGGGATGAGGCAGGTTTGAGTACCCTACTACAAGCGGTGGTGGCTACCATCACTTCCGCTAGAGCGTCGTCCACGAGACACCTCTATGCGTTGAAGTGGAACCTCTTCGTCAACTGGTGTTCTTCTCACCGAGAAGGCCCCCGGAGATGTTCGATCAGCGTCGTGCTTTCCTTCCTTCAAGACGGGTTGGAGCGAAGGCTGTCTCCCTCCACCCTGAAGGTCTACGTTGCCGCTATTGCCGTACAACATGAACCAATCGAAGGTAAGTCGCTGGGGAAGCACGACCTGATCGTCAGGTTCCGGAGGGGAGCAAGGATACTGAATCCTCCTTGCCCTCCTCTCGTACTCTTGGGACCTCTCAGTGGTTCTAACTACCCTACAGAGTGCTCCCTTTGACCCCTTGCAATCAGTAGAGCTTAAGTTCCTGTCAATGAAGACAGAGCTCCTGGTTGCATTGGTCTCCATCAAGAGGGTAGGGGACCTGCATGCATTCTCCGTTGACAAAGCGTGCCTGGAATTTGGGCCAGCCTATTCTCACGTGATCTTGATAAACCGCCCTGGATATGTGGCGAAGGTTCCTACCACTCCCTTCTGGGACCAGGAGGTGAACCTGCAAGCGCTGCCCCTGGAGGAGGCAGACTCAGCCTTGGCACTGCTCTGTCCATTACGTGCTCTCTGTGCCTACGTAGACAGGACGCAGTGTTTCAGGACCTCAGACCAGCTCTTTGTCTGTTATGGTGGGAAGCTGAAGGGAAAGGTTCTCTCCAAGTAAGGCTGTCCCACTGGATAGTGGACACAATTGCTTGGCATACCAGCAGCTAGGTTGTCCATGCCCTTGGTGTGACTGCCCACTCCACCGGAGTGTGGCATCCTTTTGGGCTCTAGCCCATGGTGCCTCGCTAACAGACATCTGCAGAGCTGCAGGCTGGGTGACACCCAACACATTCGCCGGATTTTACAATCTCCATGTGGGGCCTATGTCCGCTCATGTACTCGCTTCCACCTGAGTACTAGAACCCGCTCAGGTGTCTTCGCTTGCTCGCCATTCCACTCTTCGGACTGGATGCGTGCGATATTTTCCTCAGGTGAGCCTCCCTGAGCGACCCCCACATGTGTGTTTCCACTGTAAATCTCTCTGAGCATGTGTCTTTCCCTTGGCAAGCCAACTTGCCACTCCTGGGGTTGAAATATCCCACCTGCGGCTGGACACCCCAGTGTTTCTCCATATGCTTCCTTCTGGTAATATGTGTATTCCAATAGGGATTGGCAGTAATTGCATATTTCCTCTAAACTATGGGATATGTTCCCCTGTGTACCTTCGTATTCCTGTGCTAAATAGGAGTACTTCGTCTGTGCCAGTCTCACATCAGGGATCTCAGATTTACACAGGGCACTGGAAGACCCGCTGTGAAGGTGGCGTGATTAGACTGGTAACCTCATTCGTCTTTATCCTATGGAATTCGGAGTGACAACGAAAGGAAACGTCTCGGTTACGTATGTGACCCTCGTTCCCTGAGTAGGGAATTGAGACGTTCCATCTTCTTGCCACCTTCCGCTGTAACGCTGGAACAGCCGAGTTCAGTCTTGGCTCCTCAGCGAAGAAACATACCTGCATGTTGCGGCGTCCTCCTTTTTATACCCACAAGGTAAGACAGAGATATGCTATGCAAAATCTGCATACCCATGGTATTTCTTTGCCATTGGCTTGTTTTGTAATACTCAAAGTCGATAGGCTTTCTAAGCGAAACCCCATGCGTCATCATCTGACAGAACGTCTCCGTTCCCTACTCAGGGAACGAGGGTTACATACGTAACTGAGAAGTTATTTTCACATCAAAAAGGGGGGAACATGATAAAAGATAGGATATTATGCCTAAAGGAAATTAAGTCATCTCACGATAAGCACACTTTTCCCGACCCCATGCATAGTCCAAATTCATTCAAGGAAGAATAATAATAAATAAAATAAAATTCACCTTCAGTCTTTATGTAACGTGATAAATTACGTTTCCAGTCATTGCCCCCCCCCCACCCCCATATAAAAAAAATAACAACAACAAGAACATGCTAACATATTTTACATAAGATTTATTATTTTAAGCTGAAAATAATGGTGAACATCAATAGTAAAGTATTTGAAAGACTGTGAGTCTTTCGTTTAAAGAAGGCCACATGAATATCACTAGTTCTCATTTTCTTAATGACTCCACTGATATGAAGTGATTGTGACATTGAACATCTCGTAGTGTCTTCAGAAGCATCACGACTCCAAATTTCATCCGAACTCATAAATGCAGACCATCGCTCAAAGAAATTGTCATAATAAAAAGTCACAGGCAATACAACAGTGTCAGTAAATCCACAGCATCTGTTGTTTTTGAGGTTAATATAATTTTCTACAATGATACATAGTATAGAATTGAAATTCTAACAATAATGCTCAAAACACATTACACATACCCAAGGACAAGTAAACATGCATCAGAGAAAATGTACAAAATAAGTTCTACAAATGTAGAATCCTAAAATATGTTTTAGTTGGTTTCCATCTTTTTTAATCATATTTTAATTACAAAGATCACATTTATCAGTACAGGTATGTTCTGTATTTTCCATGAATCCCACAATGTGGAAAATCAGATACTATGTTGACCTCCAATGAACCTTTCACCTTTGGTCTTTTTTTTCTCCCCAAAAAATAAAAAAAAACAACCTTCAGAGTGTAAACAACATCTATGGCCATACAGACAGGATCTTCAAAAGGCTGGACCTGGTTATCATTTAAACACGTAAACCCCAACACATCAGACTCAACAGTTGATGCCAAACAGAAAAATAATAGTGTTGCACGAAACCTGTAAATACTAGCAATAATAAACACTTAAAGGGATAGTTCACCCCCAAAATAATTAAAAACTTCTGTCATCACTCAATCATCAGTTTTAAACTAGGGCTGCACGGTATATCGTTTTAGCATGGACATTGTGATGTGCCCATCTGCAATAGTCACTAATGGATTAGTTTTACAATCTCTTTATGAACTTTTTGAAGCATCAGTGGTAGTTGTGTAGCTGTTAATGGAGGGACAGAAATCACTTTAAATATCATTTAAAATATCTTCATTTGTGTTCCGAAGATGAACGAAAGCCGTACAATTTTTAGTTATATTTATGTTTTGTTAAATGTTATTAAGATCTCACTGATTTACATTACAACCTAACAGAATCTTATCTTATTTTTGGCAGTATAAAAATCAGAAACTACATTTTATTCAAAAATTAGAGTTTCATACACTATAAAAATGAATACGCTTTATTTAATCAATAAAATTGTGGCAACAGATTACAAGCAATATTATTAATTAAATTGAACAAATTAGAATTGAGTAATAATTAATCAAATTATTCCTTAAAAGTTAACCATTTAAAATGAGAAAAGTTTACACAAAAAATTAAACAAAAATATCTCAATAACAGACAGACATTAAAGATTAATTAAGAAGTCTTTATGTTATATTGCCAACATTGAAGACACCTGATGTTAACAAGCAGAATCAATGAAGGAGAAACCTAAAACAAACACCGATCACCATAATGGCGACTTAAATGTAAGTTTTGTTTGTAAGTTTTACTAATTTTAAATGGTTTACTTTTAAGGAAATAATTTGAATAATTATTACTCAATTCTAATATGTTAAATTTAATTAATAATATTGCTTGTAATCAGTTGCCCTAATTTTTTTGATTAGATAAAGCATATTCATTTTTACAGTGATTCTTACTATATAATACTATTGTTTATGAGCCAATAACACCTATTATCAAATAGAATGCTCAACATATACAAACTTTTATTTATTTTGTTAGATTTCTTTTAGATTTTGTCTTTAAAAAAAAAAACATTTTAGTTTTTTTTTTTTTTTTTTTTACATTATTTTAAATGTCAAGCTTTAAGGGGTTAAGACAAAATGAGGGCGAGTAAAAGAGGATGGAAGTTTTATTTTGGGGTAAAGGTAAACTATCCCTTTAAGAGCAGAAGATGGTTTGGGCACAAATGTTGACTGATGCACAGGACACATTACCGGTATATTAAATATAACATTATAAGACAGCGTACACATAATACATTTTCAGCACACAGTAAAACAACAATAAAACCTGTCTGGGTTATTCATTTTTTTTTTTTTTTAAAAGTCATGCTATTGTAATACTATGATTTTTTACTATGTCATTTTAATACCATAATAATCTTTACCATGTCTAATCAAGTACCTTGTAAATATCAAGGAATATGAATTTTGTTAATAATTCAGTACCATGGTGATTTTCATTACCATTACTGTACCTCGACAGTACTTTTTATATCAGTAAAATTGAGTATTCAGAATGACACGTACCTCCCTGTCCAAAAGCGTGAAAATAAAACTGCTTTGTTGTTTATGTCTGGCAACTCAATTGTGTTTAATAGAGCGCAAAAGTGCCCCGACCGGAAAGAGATGTAAACAAATTTTGGTGGGTTTAGTGCTTGTTAGTTTAGGTTAAAGTGTGTTAATCTAGAACGTCCTTCAAAACATAATGCTTCCATGTAACAGCCAGTCCCATCAACAGAGACACAAAACCTTAATCAATGAAACACACAGGCGATAGAGAAGAGATGGTGTTACCGAGGCGGGTGGGACACTATGTTACACAGCAGCAGGGCCTCGTCCGGAGGCGGGACCAGAGAGGAGGTGTTTTGAGAAGAGTTTTGGCAGTGGAGAGATCAGCTCCGGATCAGGGTCAGGAACTCGTCCCGTGTCTTGGGGTCCTCGCGGAAAACGCCCAGCATGGTGCTGGTCACAGTCTTGCTGTTCATCTTCTGGACGCCTCGCATAACCATACACATGTGACTGGAGAGAAAATCAATCTTGAGTTCTAGTCAGACATAGCATTGTAAAATAATGTTGAACTTGAATTTTCACATACGTGGCTTCAACAACCACTCCGACGCCAGCAGGCTGTAAAGCTTCAGTGATGGCGACCGCAATCTGTTTAGTTAGACGCTCTTGAACTGAAATGAGAGAAGCCGACAGATCACAACTATTGAGAATATGTCAGTGTGAAGTTTTACAGCTATTGGTGAAACAAACAAGGATTTCAAAGGTGTATGAATAATATTCCATGGTACAATTGTTTACCTTGCAATCTCCTGCTGTATATCTCAACAATTCTGGTGAAAAACAAAAAGCATTAACATAGTTAATAATTAAGCGTAATTTATACACAATATACCTCCATTGAATGTAATGGTGGTTTGATAACAGAAACTTTATTGCTGAGAGATTTCAGTTGTTGATAGGTGTATTTTCAGGAATAAAGTCTATATTTTTATTTAAACACAATGTAAACTAACAACGAACGCTCAATTTAGACACTTAAGCAAGTTAATTAAAAAATGTTTTGTATTAATATAAATATAATTAATTATAATATACACATTTTGTAACATAATACATTACCGTTCAAAACTGTATACTTTTAAACCGATCAAAAATCTTTGTAACATTATTAATGCCTTTATTGTTTCAAATAAATGCTGTCCTTTTGAACCTTCTATTCAAAAGAAAATGTAAAAATTTTAATTTCCACAAAAATAATAAGCAGCACAACTTTTTTCAACATTGATAATAATAAATATTCCTTGAGCAGCAAATCAGCATATTAGAATGATTTCACTCGACTCGACTAAGACTCGAGTAATGATGCTGATTAAATTTTAAAATATAAAATACTTGAAAAAAAGAATAAAATTATAATAATAATAATAATAATAGAAAATTAAATCATGTGTAAATAGTATTGTAAATATTTCAAAAATCTTATCGGCGTCACCAAACACATATTTTTTTGTATATTTAAATATAATACTAATGAGTAGAACAAACACAATAAAAAAAAATCATTTTCCACATAATGTCAAATATAACTTAATATCAAAAACTCTCTTTCATGTTTGACCATTTGATCAGCAGTGATCCATTAAACTACAAGGCAAATGGAAAGGTCTACAGGAAAGCCACAGCCATAAAAATGAAACAATAACCACTTTTAGAAATCAGAAATCCAACTGTGTGTGTGCACGTGTGATTAAGTGTGTGTGCGGTACTGGTAAGAGTTATATGACTGCTGTTGTCATGTCTTCATTAGTGGAGTGTAGTATTACGGTTGGGACATTGTGAGATGGATAAGCCACAGGTATTGGGGTCAAATTGAATCAAGCTTCTCTTTGTCACACACATTGTATCTAATCCTCTTACAGACACTTACACCCTCATTGCTTCAAACACACGCACACACGTGCATCTTGATTTCACAGACGAAAAACATTCCTGAGGCGAAAAAAGCCATTAATCTCCTTCACTCGAGCGAATGCTGCTGATTTCATTGTGGCAGGATAAATTTGCATGCTTCTGAAGAGATCCATTAAGATTCAATACTGCACCAGGAAAACATAAACTCACCCGCAATGGGCCAAAAAGAAAGGGTTAGTTCACCCCAAAAATGAAAATTCTGTCAGTAATTAATCACCCTCATGTTGTTCCAACCCTGTAAGACTTTCGTTCATCTTCGGAACACAAATGAATATATTTTTGATTAAATCTGATCACTCCTCCTTAGGCTTTTAAGAGATCTAAACTGGCCGGCCCAAAAGTTATGAAAGACATCGTTAAAATAGTCAGAGTGACTACAGTGGCTCAATCTTAAGTTTATCAAGTGACGAGGGATGCATTTTGTGTGCAAAAAACAAACAAAAATAACGACTTTATTCAACTATTCATTTCCTTCTCTGTTGGCCACTGTAGTCACTCGGACTATTTTAACGATGTCTTTCGTAACTTTTGGGCCGGCCAGTTTCGATCCCTTAAGAAGCCTATGGAGGAGTGATCAGATTTAATCAAAAATATATTCATTTGTCTTAACAAATTAACAAACCCTTTAAGCCATGTCACTACATAATACAACAAAACGTTAAATATATTTTATTATATGGCATGTGGGGAATTGTTTTGGGTTGGGGGTGCTATAGTATGGGAGAAATAGGAATAGTATATAAAGATGTAATTAAACTTGTTAATGCCACGAAGCATAACAAACAATCCCTGAGAACGGGCTACTGAGGTATTTTCTTGGTTTTTGCAGGCAATAAACGAGGAGTGCAGAAACCCACCAGTAGGTGGCAGCAAATGAATGAGTCGTTAAATCATTCATTCAAATCAATTCGCTCAAAAACACTGATTCTTTCAGGAACGAAACAGAACGCAAGACGCGTGCAGCAGTTCTGTTGTGGCTTTGTTTGAAACTATTTTCGTTGAAGGAGCAAAAACAGACAATATGTGTCTAAAATGTCAATTACTTAATATTAACTTATTTTTTTAAAAGTTCTATAACATCAACATTAAATTTTCAAAATAATTTTCAGGAAGAAACAGCACTCTTGCTTGTGCGACAGCTTATTACTTAACTACATTATTACACAGTAAATATGAAACCCGGAAATCTTTTTTTGGGCCATGTTCATTTTGAAGGCATTTTTGCCACAAAGGCCTTGTTAATTTCACTCTGGTTTATTTCAATCAAGATCTATGAGGAATACAATGATAGACTATTTCCATTTTGAGAAGGTAAACTATGTAAAATTAAAAGAGTTTAATTGCGTTTATAAACCTGTGAAAACAGAGCTGCAGAGCGCCCCTGTATTTATAATATACACATACTACAGTTCAAAGGTTACGGGTCAGTAAGATTTTTTTTTACATGTATGTTTGTTTAAAAAGTCTCTTACGCTCACCAAGGTGATTTTAAAAAAAAATATTTAAATAAACGTAAACAAATTATTTTTAAAAATCTTCCTGACCCCACATACAAATTTTGGTTGAAATGTTTGTTTTTTACAACTTTTTCAAAAATTATTTATTATTTATAATACTTTCTGATTGTCAAATAGTAGTACATATCCAGAGTTCATGTAATAACCTACACTTGTGGTTAGTCTGCTAGGACTATATTTTGTTATCTAATGCAATGACTGGTGGAAGATGGAAGTGTCTTAAGAGTCCAAATACTTCTTAATAAGAGGCCACTCTTCGAGAAAACACAAATTGAGGATGTAAACGAGAAAAACATTTTTCAAATCATTAAAGTAGGCATGAAATGGAAGTAGTTATGTCTTTTCTTCTCAATAGTGATGTGTATCAGAAACTGATTCTCGAACAAGAAAAATGTGAATTAATTGGATGGTTGTGGTTTGCTATTGCTGTGATGTCATGTGAGTGACAGGTTGTGCCGCCCTCATGCAGATGTCCATGTGAACAGATGTCGAGAAAAAGTTATTTTGATTAAAGATTAAAAGGGCATTTGAATTTATAAAAATAATAATGTTCATAGATGAAACATTTGTAATAAACACTTCAAAAATCCATTAAAAAAAAAACAAGAATTGTCAATTTGGATTTCATGGACAATGTTGCATGAACATACCCACTAACTAAGTCTCAAGAACTAACAAAGTTTGGACTAATCAGTCTTACTTTTCAGATTCAAATGAGACCAATCTACCTTTTCAAGTAACGGACCAGTCTTGAAGGAAAAAAAATGTTATGGCTAACTTAAGACCAGTCAAAGCAGTTTATGCAACCGGCCACAGGGAGTATTTGACCTACCGTGCTAATTTACTCAGACCAAGAACCCTCTTGTTTGGAAGGTAACCTATATGCACCTGTGAAAGACACAACACATTAACTGACAAGTTACAGAAAGATATAACTGCAAAACATGGGAGTTATACATAATTCTTCCAGAACTATGGTTTCTTTTACATGATAACCTGTTGCAAAACTATATATTGGCACGAGCAAACAACATGTCACAGAATCAGACTATAAAACTAAAACCTACAGAGAGTAAAACAGTGGCTGGAGAGAGCCGTATCTGTCCATGTGCATCTTCACACCCCTCGACCCCCCTCCCCCTCCACCATCAAACTCAAATGTCACCAACAATTTGATGAAACGGCCCAGAGAAAGGGCAGCATCAACAGACATGCAAGGCTTTTCTCTTTTTTCTCTTCAAATGCGATAATCCTGCACGTCACTGAAACCTCTCGGCCTTCTTTCCGGGCCGGCAAACTCCTCTCGACATCAATCGAACTTTACCAAGACCACAGAGCACCTGGGAAACGAGCAAAGTGCTTTTTGTGGCGAAATCCACTTAGGACCAACAGGTAAGACACGCGGCGGCTGTATGTACGGTAGATATGTTTCTAGTGTAAGAGAGCGCACTTGATCGGCTCGGTGTTCGTGATGGACACTAAGAGTGTTGTGAGGACAATCACGGAGATAGAGGACGCTGAAGCGCAAGCAAGAGGGCCAAAAATGAAAGAGAACGGGCGCACGCCTCTTTGAAAGAAATTGGTGAGTCATTATCTTGTTGCAGATGCGGAGAGAGAGGCGAGGTAAATAGATGAGAAGGAATAGGGAGCTATCAGCGGGGGACGCAGTGGAAACCAGAGCCCTACAACAGCATCTGACAAACAAAATTGCAAGTGGTGGAAAAAAAAGCGTTCAGTGCGCTTGATCAATGGCTCAGTCTATCATCAGTAGCCATTTGTGGCATGACAGGATCGACGGCTCTTTTGTCTTAAATGGCAGACACCTGCGGTGTTATGAGCTCGAGGGAGGTACTAAATGTCAAACCTGGAGGATTTAAAGTGGCCATTGTTTTTCAGTGGAACTCAGATCTGATATTTCAGCGTGTTCTCGTTACCTGCTTCCAGATTTAATTGTAGCTAATTAACTTGGTTATTGACAGATTACACATCAAGGTTTTTCAGGTGCATGCATCAAACTAAAGAAAGAAGCTGTTTCTGCCTTCAAGTGGGTGAATCTCGCTCTCAAAAACAAATCCACGTTATATTATATGACGACTCAACGCCTGCGATATGTTATGGTGCCGTTTGATTCATAAACAATATTTATATTTAATATTTATATTTAAACAATATGAATGTAAGCCAGAGGAGAACTGGCCCCCGACTGAGCCTGGGTTCTCCCAAGGTTTTTTCTCCATCCAATCTGATGGAGTTTGGTTCCTTGCCACTGTCGCCTTGCTTTTGGCTTGCTTTGAGCTTGCTCAGTTGGGGTTATTTAGTGTTTAGCAATGTTGTTGATCTGTGTTGTGCTACTTTCATGTTATCACTGTGAAGCTGCTTTGATACAATCTGTATTGTGAAAAGCGCTATATAAATAAATGTGACTTGACTTGACTTGACTATATTTCACCCCACAATCACAAAAAATAAACATTAAAGGCAATTTAATGACATTTTTTTCATAATAATTACGCAATTTCTCATTGTGATTTTTAGTTGGCATAAATTGACTTAAAACACTACTTACTTCATTTATTTGCCAAAATATAAATTCTTAATAATAATTTATATAATGCTAACATTTCTATATTTTATTTAGGGCTGTCAAACGATTAATCGCGATTAATCGCATTCAAAATAAAAGTTTGTGTTTACATAATATATGTGGGTGCACTGTGTATAATTATTTTGTATATATATATATATATATATATATATATATATATATATATATATGTATAAATACACACGCATGTATATTTAAGAAAAAAACATTATTTATATATAAAATATTTAGATAATATAAATTATATATAAATCTATATACTGTACATGAAAATATTTCTTAAATATATACAAGCATGTGTGTGTATTTAAATATATAAAATTATTATACACAGTGCACCCACATATATTATGTAAACACAAACTTTTATTTTGGATGCGATTAATCGCGATTAATTGTTTGACAGCCCTAAGAAAAAAATAAATAAAATCAAAAAAGTTATAATAATATAATATATTAAAAATTGATCATAAATAATATTTTAATTGAAAAAGATTAAATAAAGACTTTAAATAGAGTATCATAAAAGCCTTATAGGATAGAGGTGCAACAAATTAACTTGTAAAACTACATATTAAATGCAATTTTTTTTTTGGTTTCTCAAATACGGTCATAAAAATTGCACAAGGGTGGCATATGCTAATGAAGGAAAAAGGGAAATGTTTAGTCTTACCCGGCCAAAAATGGGAACTAAATGGTGTTCACACATGGAAAACATGTCGATATCCTTCACGATCACCATCTCGTCATGATCTTCGTCAAAGATTGCGTCATTCAGGACATCTACAAGAAAATACAACAACAAATCAAGATATGACATCATGAAATCATTATATTTCACCCCATACGCTCTTCCTGTTGCGGCCCTGTGTCATTTCTCTAAGCTTCAATCATTGTTCAAACATATCCCATTTTATCTATTGAGAATGAACTGTCTTTTCTTGTGGGGCTTTTTAATTTCCTGGCTGCCTATCTCAGGGAAGGTTTCCGTGGAGACATGGCAAACTGATGGCGGAGCCTTGGGGGTTTTGTTGAGATGTGACTCCAATATTTTGTTGCCACTTTTGTGCAGTCACTGTGTGATTGAAAAAGGCAGAAAGCAATCATTTTTCAAACTGTTTATGACTACCTGACAGGTGTGACAGCAATTAATAACAAATATTTTTACATTTTGAAAAAATAAATAAATAAATAAATAAATTAGCAGTGCTCACTCATCAAAATTCGTCATCCTGTTGTGGCTGGTTGTTAGTTTGTTGCAAGGGTGTTACGGGTCTCAAAAGAGTATCTGTGAAATTCTGGTCATGTGACTAATGCCTGGTTAGGATTACACAATTTTTACAATAGTCTGTTACAATAGTCACTGTGTCAGATTACGCGATTTTGACTCCTAAAATCTTGTGGTGTCGTGCACAAGAAATATGTCAGACTACAAGTTGCTACCTGACCGTCTTTAACAAGGCGCGTGATGTCATCGAGAAGGCGAGACTAGTAGCGAGTGACTTCCAGAAATGAACGTAAACAAACAATGGATGAAGCGGTGAGTGTTTTATTGGCTGTCCTGTGTTCAGAAAAAAGTAAAAAAAGAAAGAAAACCTGACAATGGACACGTTCCTGGATTGCTCGAAGAGGACAGTATGGGCTGTCAATCCTCCAAAGAGAACTTAAGGTAAAATATTGTTTTCGTATATATTTTTACTTTTAGTTTTAACGTTAGCACCATCATCTCTCTTTCGTTTTGCCATTTTTGAAAGTTGTGTACGGAAAAGCTTCTGTGAACCTATTGGTCAACCTCATACATGTGACGGAAACGTCGTGGACGACCGTTGAAAAAATTAAACATGCTAGTCTTTTTGTCGTGAAGCATCGCAGACGCGACGTAGGTTGTCGCCCACTATGACACACTATACGAGATGATACAATGGAATCTTGTGGCCCAACGCCCGCTGTCCTTTACGAATCCCCACGATACCCTACTTTAAATGGATCGCGCCAAAATCGGCCTAAAATCTTGTAATCTGAACCAGGCATAAGTTTCTTAAAATTTAGGCCCCGTTTACACGGAAAGAAAACGCAGATATTTCCCTGCGGATTGGCCTCTCGTTTACACGAAAACCCCGTTTTTATCACAGAAAACGATTATTTCTAAAAAAGTTAAAAACTCGGGCCAAAGTGGAGATTTCTGAAAACGCCGGTTATGTGTTGTCGTGTGAACTGGAAGAAACGGCGTTTTAGGTTCTCTCTTGTCGATTCTGAGGATTCTGATTGGCTTGCATGGCTTTATCCTTAACCTCTACACTGCCTCCAATAGGTTTGGCATAGTTATGATGGCGCTCGACGGCGTATTTATGCGGGTGTGTGAACAATGTTATTTTTGAAAACGGAGAGGGGGAAAATATTCGTTTTGCTAAATACCCGGCTTTGTGTAAACGTGGCCTTAAATTCCTGGATATTATTTTACAGATTTCCTCAAAATCACAAGTCAGATCACATAGACAGCTGCATGATTTGATGTAACATTAGAGTCTGTAGGGGGGAAAAAAACATTTAAAAACTGATGATGAGCAATAGTAATAATAGTTATGCAACCACCACTGACAAACTGATAGTATCCCTCATAAAAGTGGTTGAACAAGTTATTTCCATGTCGTTTCATGGTTCCTAGAACTTTTGTTAATATTTAAACTGATCCTGGTCACCACTCACTAACCAGTGCGGTGTTGTGTTAACGTTGTAGCTGATCTGAGCATCTCTGTTGAATTTAACCTGAGGGCAGCAGCTGTTACGAGAGAACTGTCATCAGCCTCATCCTAAACAAACAGCCGCTTTCAAATGCACAGGCACAACACACAAAAAGGTCTCACGTATGACGGTGGCGGCACCGAAAAAAGAACAGGAAATCAAATCAGCATCTCCTTAAAGTCATCTTTCAGCCTCGCTGCCACCGTCACACACACTCAATTAAACACAAACTTGCTTACACACTAAGCAAACATACACTTGAAATACAATAAGTAACCATAGAAACCCATTGAAATTGTGGAGAAGTCAACAAGCAGAGCTCTGGTTATGGGTAATGTTACTGCTGTTGAGGTCTTGGCTTGATCTCCATCTCTTAAATAAGAGACAGGCATCCGTCCAGCCAGTGGGGGCAGGGGGCAACGCAGCATAATGAGGGGTAATGCAGGAAAGAAACCGATCTGAGCTGCGTAACCGCTGTAAATGGAGCAATATGTCTCATGACACCATGATAAAACCATAAACTGTAAGGAAACATAATGACATAATGCATAATAATAATGCCATAATAATTCCTTTATTTCACAATCCTTCCTTCCTTTTGTCTGTGACTTATGAGTAGCATTACGAGTACGACAGAGATAGGCCTATGTTTTATTGTAGGGCTGGAATGACGTGTCAACGTAACCGATTACTTTGATTAAGTAAATTAGTCAATTTGAGTGGAATGTGTCGATTCTTCACACGTTCCCCTGGCATGCTGAAAATCAGCCGTTATTATAGAAATATTGAGCCAGATCTGAAGTGTGGGATTTTCATTTTTTTTTAACAGAGATCGAATAAAATGGTGCTCTGGATGCTCTGTTAAACTGAAATGGCAAACCACAGCAACACAACTTCTATGTAAGAGCATTTAAAAAGAAAACACCCCAGGTCTCTCCTACCTCAAACGACGAGACGGCAGCGTAAGTATTTTGGACTAGTACAGTGAATTTTTACACAGCTA